TCTGCGAGATGTTGCACCGTTGGGGAACTTAAATTAATGTTACCTTTTGAGCTAAACGAAGTTAGGTCGCCGAAAGGGTGATAATCCTTGGCCGGATAAAATCCCCGTCAGCCCCGGTACACAGAACCGGCTTTCTTAAGAATTGTTTAGGAATGCGTGACAATGTATAGTTGCTTTGCAACTGACGTTTTGGAACTCACCCATACCTATGTATTAGGTCAAGTAAAAAGTTTGTTTGGTTTTTATCCAAGAGATGGCGTTATTGTCCTAGTACTAGTGCTACGTGTCGCATCATGTCATATGTACGTTGTGAGCGCTCGTCAAAGATGGACACTAGTAAAGAGAAAACTCGCTATAAGCTGCTTTGGCAGAAAAAATTAATTTAGTTTATGGACCCGATACTGTAAACGAACGTATAGCACGTGAGCACTTATTTAATTGCTGAGGAACTAAAGATAAGCCGGAAAATCGTCTGGAACCATTTGCATAACCTTGGAATAAAAAATAAGCTAGATGTTTGGGTGCCACACGAACTAATGCAAAAAAACATGATGGGCCGAATTTCCATCTGCGAATCGCTGCTAAATCGCAACAAAATCGACCCTCTACTACGTTTCTGAAGCGGATGGTGACGGTGGCCAGGAAGGTTTTGCTTTGTGCTTGGTGGGTTTGGCAAGGAATCATCTACTAAGAGCTGCTCCCAAACGCTCAATTCGGCATTCTACTGCCAACAACTGAACGCCTTCAAATGGTCCATCCAAAAGAAGTCATCTTTACCAGTACAACCCCAGGCCACACACGTCATCCTTCTTTTCCTGTCCATGATGACCGCACCTAATGGTGAGAAAATGGCCTCAAGAGAGGCCTGTTTTTTGCCAATAGGGGTGCAGCCTTCCACGAGAGGCGTATAATGAAGTTGGCTTCTTATTGGCAACAAGTTTACGAACAAAACGGCACATGTTTGACTTAAATCGGACAAATGTACCGAACGAACTTTTTACTTGGCCAATATATTAGTGCCAGTTTTCACAATGTCGGATTAACTTAACCTTTAACTGGAGGATAACTAACCGGCAGATAGGCTGATGTGATATTTTCGTTTTCACCAAGCTCTGATTACATAACTTCTGGTTAGTTTGATCATTGTGAATATTTTAAGTTAAGTTCACAAAAATTTTCTTCCTTTTATCCAAGCAATTTAGTTTTCTGTTCCTTTTTTTATTTCTTTTTTTTTATAATAAATGTAAATGAAATTATAGTTTAATGTTTAATGTATTAATATGTTTTTTATTGAGAAAAATACTTTTATTAAATGTAAAGAATATAAGTATCTAATATAAATGGCTATAGCCTGAAAAAAAACAGTAATAGTTACAAATAATTTTATGGTTTTTTATGCAAATAATCCACCCTAGCAACATAATATCTGACCAGACCTTGCAATAGAGTCTGTTTGCACCTCAGTTATGCTTACGTCGACATCAACAAGTGCTTCTGCTGCTTCATGGACTTGAACTTCTACTTCATCAAGGTTATAATCATTGTTCTGGATAAAAATATTGAAGAAGACAACCTGCTTTTTTCGGTATTCTGATGATTGATTGAACGATCCGCTACAGCATTGGACACTATTTACCACCCGACTGCCAGTCGCCACTTTTATTCCGCCCAACCAGTAAAACAAATTAAAAAATTTCCTGATGCATTAAATTTCCGCTGCTTTATTTCTGCAAAATCAAATAAATTATCAATAATATTAATACTGAAAACACACTCTTCACAAACCTTTCAGTTTTGTTTCCCTTTAAATACGCTTCTGAACCAATGCATCCAGTTTGGCAATGCATTCCACCCGGAATACTATTTTATTTGTTGTTTTATTATTTGCAGCTGTCAAATTATCTTCTGGTTAAGAGCTAATCGCCACTCAATGTTCGCGTTCAGTTAATCGCAATTAATTGACAGATGTGCCTTAACCGATCATTGTGAAAACGAATTTTATGCCACCTTCCGATTAAGTTATGATTAAGTGCTTAACCGAAGATCACCATCTCCAACGGCCCGAGGTGTAGCAAATTAAATCTATTATTTTTCCAATAAATGGCGATATTTATGTGTTTCTTGCGTTGTATAAGTCCGATCGGGTTCCGCTAGATGGCGTTAGGAAGTAGGCATTTCGTACATTTCTGACCGTTTTGTGATTCGTTGATTCAGATGAATACATACAGTCAGAGTCATAAGTCTACAAGCAGGCAGTATGAAAATGTTTGTTTCAAATTTTTTTTTAAATTAAGTAATTTATTGAATTCAAATTTTACTATTCTTATACAATATTAAATGTAGAATGGTGGCGCCAAAATTCTTTGCACGTGTTCGCAAAACAGACGAGATAACGGTACTTTTAGTTTTCAACGTAACAATTCCAGCGATCAAAAGTCTACAAGCACTTAGTACTATCGCGGTATTTGCACGTGTTGTATGTTAATTTTTGAATAATTTTTATTGCATTATATTGAATTCATATTAATTTATCAGAAAAGTGAAAATAAATCTTAAACTTCTATAAACCTGCTCTGGAAAACCACGATGGCGTCCAAACGGAAAGAAATCAGTGTCGATGAGAGAAATATTATTATTAAATTCTGGCAGGAAGGGAAATCAAATCGGGAAATTGGTTGTTTAGTTGGAAGATCACACTGCTCGATCTATACCGTTATAAAAAACTTCAAAAGTGCAGGAATTATCACGTCAAAGGCTCGATCTGGTCGTCCACCGAAGCTCACCGTCCGTGAAAGTCGTTCAATATTAAGTGCGGTGAAGAAAAATCCGCGATTAACTGCATTGTCAATTGCCCAAGATGTGCAAGAAAGATTTGCGAAAAATATTTCCGTGGTTACTGCGCGAAGAATTTTGAGACGGGCTGGTTTTCATATTCGAGTAGCACGAAAAAAACCACTTGTTTCACGTATTAATCGAAAAAAGCGTATTGCTTTCGCAAATAAATATGTAAACATGCCAGATGAGTTCTGGAATAATGTACTTTTCTCCGACGAATCGAAGTACTGCATATTTGGCATAAAAGGACGCAAATTAGTATGGCGTAAGACAGGTGAAGCTTACAACAAATGCAATATTTATCCAACGGTGAAACATGGAGGTGGCGGTGTGATGGTTTGTGGCTGTATGTCAGCCAGTGGCACGGGACACTTGGAATTTGTGGAGACAATAATGAATAAACATATTTATTTAGACATTTTGAAGCGTAATATGCGGTCGAGCGCTGAAAAATTAGGAATGCAAAACGGGTTTTATTTTCAACATGATAATGATCCCAAACATACTGCGGAAATTGTACGTCTTTGGTTACTCTATAACGCCCCCAAACAACTACACACGCCTCCACAGTCACCCGATTTAAACCCAATTGAGCATTTATGGGCACTTTTGGAAAGGAAAATACGCAATCACTCAATATCGAGTAGGCAGCAGCTTAAAAACGTGATATTAAAAGAGTGGGCTGAAATAACACCTCAGGAAACGAGCAAACTTGTAAGTTCAATGAAAAACCGTTTGATGGAGGTTCTAAAGCTCCGCGGATATCCGACTCGTTATTAAAAGGTATAAAAAGTTTAAATTTTACTAAGTAACCCCTTCAAATGTTAACTGCTTGTAGACTTTTGATCGCTGGAATTGTTACGTTGAACACTAAAAGTACCGTTATCTCGTCTGTTTTGCGAACACGTGCAAAGAATTTTGGCGCCACCATTCTACATTTAATATTGTATAAGAATAGTAAAATTTGAATTCAATAAATTACTTAATTTAAAAAAAATTTGAAACAAACATTTTCATAATGCCTGCTTGTAGACTTATGACTCTGACTGTATATTTTACAGTTTTTCTTCGATAATGTCAATCAAGCACAATTTTAATTTTGATGTAAAACTTGCTTCACGAAGTGACCGTCAGGTAAGCACTGTTTCGATTGACCAAGAGCTAAAAATCTCACGAAAAAACGTTTCGAAACATTTGAATAAAGCTGAATACAAACGAAAAATTTAAATCCTTCAATTTCACGCGAAAATAATGGATTCTTTTTTACTACGTCTAATACAAAACTCATTTGAAAAAAACATATTTCTAGGCCAAAATGAAAAAATCAGAAATTATTAAAGAAGTTGTAATGCCCAGACGAATATTAAACTTAATGAGATTATATGCAGATAATAAAATTGTGATTTGTCAGCTGATTACGATAAATTTCTAATAAAAATTAGAATAGACCGTGATTTTGTCGTAATCCGCGTGATAATTATAAGACCGATCTACCAACTTTTGGCGCAATTCGCAAAATCTGTATTGCGAATTAAGTAATTCGGCAAGTATTTGAAGTGCAAATTGTGAATGAGAGAGAGAAAAACAGAACCCAGGCGCCGTGGAAATTTTGTTATTGCGCTCTCTGAATTATTTTATCCATTTTCATTATATTAATTTTTTCTAAATCGGTGGTTCTACTTACCATTTATTTTATTGTAAAAGTCACGCAATTATTGTTTCATTCGCGCAGTTTGCTGTCAAAATATTTTATATTGGGCGTGTTGCTTCAGGGTGCAATTTAATTTCTGCAATTTAATTTCATATAACTGCAGGAATAAAAATTGAACTGCGCGACTGAACTTATTAATATTCAATTTGATTTGCTCGTGTTGCACTAACAAATTATCATTCTCATACAAGTGCTCCAAAAAGATTTTAGTAATATCAGATAAGACTCAGGCGAATTTATAGAAGGATAACAAGCAACAAACAAAATACCTTTCGATTTTATAACTACACAACCAAAATACAATATATAGGCTTTTTGTTTTTGTATTCTTGCTACATCCATGTGTAAATTTGCTTTAAAATTAAATTTCGAATCTTTTTAATTTGACACGCACTGATATAGACAATTTGTTAATAAATTGAGCGCTTTTACAGATCAATTACATTTCATGAGATTTTTTGTCTATTTAGATAAAATTTATTGACAATTGAATGATATCCCTTATCAACATTTATTGATAATTAATACAAAAATTTGCTTGTAAAAGATAGTATAAAATATTGCTATAAGATATAAGGAACAGTAATAAAAGTGTACATTTCTCGATTAACCAATAGGAATGATCATGTCAATGATTCTAACTTCAAGCTTGCTCCAAAACGAAAGCCATTTGGCGATAACGCTCTAGCATGGGTGAATAAATTTGGTCACAGTCTTTACTGGGTTCACATATTAGTTGTAAATGATTTGGAATGAATTGAGTAACGTAGTCGTGATAATTTAATTGCAAACTTGAGTCGAGGTTCTTCGTATTTGCGTCTTGATAAATTTCACTATTAGATTCTTGCACGGAATTTACATAAAGAGAATATCTTGCTCTGTATGCCGCACCAAATAAAGCCGCCTCACTCTCATTCTAAATCAAAATGTATAAAATTAATTTAATTTATTAGATGTCATGATATCAATTACTCTACCTGCACGAAAACCGGCGCGTTAAATACATCTGAAATAACTTGTAGAATCGATTTATTCACAGAAGCTCCACCAGTGGCTATAATTTTTGTATTGCTACCGAAATGGAAACCCATGTCTGAAGCTATAGCTCGTTTATGCAGCATCTGACCTTCAATTAAGGCACGAATTTCGGTTTCAGGAGAAGGAAATCTAAAAAAACATAATATAGAAGACAAAATCATTTAAACAATGAACACCGGGAAGCGATGGACATTAGTGTATTAAGTAAAATTTTCGACTTACTTTTTTACACCCTTTGCTGATTCTGAATTATCGGGGGAAGAGTTTCGTGTCCAGCGCAAAACTCCTTTGAGATTAGGAATTATTTCGATGGAATGGAAATGAAGAGCCATATTGCCATAGTTACCACGAGGCGTTGAGTCGAGTAATTCATTGAACTTTTTCCAGTCACCGTTTGCCTCAGTTTTATTAAATGACTCACGAACGAGAGAGCCGTTACGAAAACTAAAAATTAAATAGAAATGGATTAGTGGTGAAAGATTTTATTTTAAATTATTAAATTGACATCAAAAATGGTGTTAATGAGAGAGATTGCGAAGCCAAATCGTAACAATGCAACCCTGCTTTCTATAAATTTGCCTTGCAACAATACTTTGCAAATTCTGACATTTTGGAAGGCTTTTCGTGCAAATAAGTTACTTTCCCTTGAAATGGCTAAAATATAAAAAAAAAAACACAAAAAAATAGGTAACATAATGTTTAAAAGTAAACCTACTGTGAAAAAACCTACTACGTCGGATAGTCATAGTTATTAAGAATTAGTTTTGTTTTTTTCGAAAATTAAGACTTTATTGTGAACAAATGATTTTAATCGTCTGGAAACAGTTGCTTGATCAACTCCTATTGCTTTTGCTGGTTCTTCTTGCGTCTGTCATGCATCTGCGTCGAGCAATGTCTCCAATTCTTCGCCTTGAAATTTTTTTTGGCTGTTCGTCGTCTAAGTCGAAACCGTGCAAACCACTTTTGGCACGTACGTTCGGCTAAAGCACGGTCACCATAAACGTCCAGTAAAATACGATGGCTTTCGGTAGCACTTTTCTTCATGTTATAGTAATGAAGAAGACCTCCCCGCAAATAACACTTTATCTGGTACAAATTTCGACATTTTGAAATGAATGAAACAAATTGCTGTTCACGCTAAAACGAATGACATCTACTGAGAACGGCGCGACCTTTGAAATGAATATACCCACAGATGAACACGATGCGAAATAATACTAGTAGACCCCTCTCTTAGAAAACCGCACGAATTAACACATACACCCAATAGTAAAATAAAGAATCACAAGCCTTAGCGATGAGCAGTTTGCTTTTATTTGCATATCAATAACTTTACCAATGCATTTGGGAACATGATACATCGTCAAAGTTTGTATGGTTGTCTTGCTTCTTTGCTTCAGACGTTTTTGAACTCACCCATATACGCAGAAACAAGCTCAAAGAAAAAAAGACCACATTCTCGCATGAAAAGCGATCATGGCACATGTACTAAGGACTACAATTTGAGGGCATGAAACTAAAATATCCGGTAACATATTTGGGAACGGGCCGCTGCCTAGCTAACCAATGTCCTCTGAAGACTAAGGGCTGACATCACCGCCGTCCAAGCAGTGCGATGGGCGTGACAAGATGGAAATCGAGTACGATTAGGATATGTACGCCCATACAAGGATCTAACATCGACTCGGACCACTATCTTGGTGCAATCAAGATACGGATCCGCTTCTGTTGAGCCAAGAACGCCCCTCAACAGACATGGAAGGTTTAACGAAATTGCACTGATATAGGCAAGTTACAAAGCGAGTGGATTTCTGTCATGAAAAAGTTACGCGTAAAAATTCATTGGCCCTGCGGACCGTCTTAGAATATTTCACTCGTTGGAAAGCATTAAGACAAACGTAGCTCGGCCGAAAATCCCTGCGCCAGCTACTAAGCACCAATTAATATATTAGCTATATATTTGTACGTGTGGGTCACTTCTTCGCTACTCAAACTCTTTCATGACAATGTATATATGTATTATTATTATATTATCGTTTTTTTTTTTTGCAATAGCAATTAAATAAAAAATTGGGCAAAATACAGAAAGTTCTCTTCACAATACATAATTGTGAGACTTAATTTGCCCCATTTTTTGACGCTTTGTAACTATTTTAGGGAATGTCCACCCCTCCGAGTGTATTTCGAACATGAAATAAAGGCTCCTCGTAAAAAAACCATCAGCCGTTCGGAGGCGGCTTAGTATAAACTGTAAGTCCCTCCATTTGCTGAAAAAACATCAAGCAACAAAAGAAGAATATAAAAAGTATGGAATTGGACAAACGAATTTTCGAACATAGTACTACTTTTGTAATGAAATTCTGAAGCTCTGGTTGGTTTTTATGTATACGAGTCTGTGTGTTAGTCTAAGCAATCCTATTTTTGCCCATCAGCAATGTTCAGGGCAGCTCCATCTTTATGTGAAATTCTGAAGTGAGAGCTAAATAGTGAAATTTTCAAAGAATGATAAGTGAATCATCTATATAAAAAATATTATTTTTAGAACTTGCAGTTCACCGAAATGTTTACCGCACGAAAACAAGGCGAATTCTGATAAATCAAATAAGTAATAACAACCACAATCGATTTTCAAAGAAACACAAAAGAGAAAATGAGCAGCCTACTTCAGAAGAAGCGAGATGCAGACAAAAAACAAAGAAAAACGTAAGTCGCCGAACCAAGCAGTTCAAAATCAGATTGTCCGTTTAAAGAATAACAACACCTTATTTGCACAATGTGGCCAGACCAAAACATACCCATTAACGCACTGATTAAACCTTATCAGCGTATAAGCTAAGCAGAATGGGGAAGGACCTTTCCGAACCGTTTGATACAAATGATGTTTTAGATATGTGACTCCTTATCTTGTAATAAGCAAATACATGTCGTTCTATTTCCCTCACCATGTGGTCAATAGGCCAGAAAAACTAAGGACAAAAGTCTGAGTTGTTTTTAATGCATCGAAAACTTCTGAATCTGGTTACTCTCTCAATTACCTATTATATACCGGTATATACCATGCAGCTTCTTAAACTCAAATCGCGAACGTAAAAATTCGTATTTAATGGAGTTATCGAAAAGCAATTTTACGGCGAAAGATGTTTTGACAGATACTGTTCAAATTTGCGTGCATTTTGTTTGATTTCTCAGCCTCTGGCTCACTTACTATATTTTTCTATTTATGCTTTGCACTTTCATTTGCATCATGAATAACATTGGAAACAAAAATAACGGAGTCTATATTCTAAATTATGCTTTTGCCGTTACATTCGCTAAAAGTGGCTCACATTTTCGGCTCATCAGAATGGGTTCAAGGGCGAGTATTTTGTTCTATAGTCAACTGCAAAACGTTAACGTATGGTATTATATTAAATCAATAAATTAAAAGTGAAAAGTTATAATCTTGGAAAATGGGTCGCTGAAAGCAACTGAATGACTTTGAAAAACGTCGAATGAAAGGCTTTTTCCGTTCTGGATTCAGTCACTGCGAAAATGCTAAAAAAAAGACCGCAGTTAATATGTGATTAGTAACATCGCAATCAAACTAAGTATGAAACTAATATGGAAGGTGGTGTTCAATACGAAACAAAACAACAACAGAAGGAAGGCTTGCTATCAGAACCGCCTAAGGCTCAAATCGGCTTGTCGCCAAAATCAGACAAGATTGTAGTGTTCATTAAATTTTAGCCACTACAAAAATTGTTATACAGAGTGACAAGCATTTGAAGTGATTGAAAGTAAAAAAAAAAAACACATCTCAGTTTGCACGTCACCATATGGCATGGGTTAAGGAGGCGCACAATGTTGTTTTTTCTGATGAGAAAAAGTTTAATCTCGAAGGAGCCGTTGGTTACAACTATTATAACTATGATTTAAAAAAGGAGGAATGCTTTTTAAGTCGACACAACGATTGTGCAGGTCGTGTAACGGTACTGGACTGCAGTTTCTAACATCAAAGATGAATTCAGATGTTTACAAAACTTTGCTACAAAAGGCACATTTTGCAAATCTTTTTGTGCTATTACCATGGATACTCCAACATGATAATGCCCCCATTAATACTGCTAGAGTGATAAAGCAGTGAATAAGATTGGAACTGTTTAAGTAACCGCCATACTCTCCAGATATAAATATCATATCAAATCCTTAACAGATCGAATGTATGCGGTAATCGCAGCCAAAGTTAGGTTTACTAAATTTTAAATTATACTTTATGAAATTTTTTTTTATTGTGGAAGTAACCAATGGGAGCAAATATATAAATATAACTGTTGTTGACAACTAATAAGAAACGAACCTGTAAATGCCTGTTGAGCATAATAGTAAAATTTGCGAATTTACCGTTATATTTTCTTAAAAACGACGCTTGCATTGTTTTTGCTACTCCATTTACTACTCAATGCCCCTCAATTTGTAGTCGTGCATTTCAAGTAATATTATTACTTCGCCAATTTTTGTATGCATTACTTCGTTTAAAGTAAATTAAGTGCGACAGTTAATCAGATACGATCGTTCAATAGCAACATATTAATAACGTCGTGTTGTTTTAGTAATTGTTATTACTAGTTTTTGGCGAGTTTTTGTATAAATTCTGTTATTTAAAATCAGCTAAAATTTGTATCTCAAGATTTGTAATGGGAAAAGCAAGCAGCTGTACACCTGCAGCGCTATTTTGACCTTCGCTGAGAGCTGGAAAGTCATACAATCAAATTGCGGTGCAAGTCAAATGCTCCAAGAAGATGATTTTTAATGCCATATCCATTTGAAACAGTAGCAGTGAAATCGCGAAGAGAACCAAAAAATAGTACCCAGGACGTTCAACGTGAAATTCAGGATAAATTCACTTTTCAAATATCGAAGAGAATAATTGCACGGCGTTTGGTAGAATCTGGACTTCATGGAAAAGCAGCACGCAAGTATCCGCTTCTGGCCGAAATTCAAAGAAAACGACGTATACACTGCATCCATTCTCATTGATGTTGGACCCTAAACCAGTCGAGGTATGTCGCTTGGAACTATGTAACAGAAAATAATCGCATCGGTCTTAATGGTTGGAGGTATGTTCGACGACCCAATAACCAAGAATTTTATCCTCATTATGTTTGACGTGCAGAGTAGCATAACGGAGGATCAATCGTGGTATGGGGATGTATGCTTTGGTCCACTATATAGGACCAATGGAATTTAAAAAAATGGAATCTGGAAAATGTCATGCTGTCAAGGGCTGAGGAGAATTCGCCAACAAATTACACCGCAAAGCTGACGAAAATTTTTTTGTTGAAAGTCCCACCAATGTTTTAGAATGGCCATAATCCAGTCCAAACTTGAGGAAGTAAGAACGGCATATCAGTGGCGCGCTGTAGAAATCTTATAACATCAATGCGAAATCATTGTGGGGGAGTGATAAAGCAGAAGTGTTAAACAACCAAATACTAATTAAAAGTAAACATATTATCTTAATATCATTATTTTTTGCTGATAAAATAGTTTCGCAACTCATGTATTTCACATGTTTAAAAAAAAATATCTAAAAATAGAACTTTCAATGACTTTATTAGATGTATGGTTTCTTTGAAACTAACGTTTTGGAACTCACCCGTTGTTGATAAATTGATAAGTTATAAGACTAAAAGTTAATATTGGAGTTTTAATGAATGATTGAATGCAATTCTTATTTAATTCTAGTATTCTAAAGTAATCTGAGACGTTTTAAGATGCTATACACTAAGTATAAATCCGAGTTTTTTTCAGAAAGTAAGTATGATGAGGATTATTTTCATCATGTTTGCAAAACGGTATTGTAGTCAGATTTCTCTCCTTTGCAGCGTGACCGGCTCGAGGCCAGTATGTTGAGAATTGTTTTTGTTTTTTCAATATTTTGCTTAGATGGGAAAATCTCCGTTTGAGATTTATAATGAAGTGAAAGCTTTCTGGTTACACTTCGTATATGGCATCACAAGGTCAATAGAGCGTTTTCTAAATTCGTTAACCTTAGCCCCTTTAACTGTTAAGTTTATAATATAACTTACCACAATAATCCCATAAACTGGTCTACTTCGGTGGGATGGCAGAGGACGTGACCTTCTTCAAGCTGAGGTTGTTCTTTTAAATTCATAATTAATGTGTCGCTTGTTCCCAATGACATTACCAAACTGTCTTCCTCTGCTACCATTCCAGACAACGCCGACAGATTGTCGCCAGTAAATGCAGTAATTTTACATTCAGCGGGAAATCCGAAACGTTGAACAAAGAAAGGGGAAATTTTACCGATTAAAGTGCTTGTGGGAACTGGTTGACCCAGGCGTTCCTCTAAATCAGGTGCGCAAGAATTCAAACACTGCTTAGACCACTTTTTTTCCTTAATATCAAAGAGATTCATGCCAGAAGCATCACCATAATCGATAGGTGCAATATCACCCAGAAAAACTGAGGCTAAGAAACTGCTAACCACTGAAATGAACTGGGTTTCTTCGTATGCGTGAGAACGTTCTTGATAAATTTTTCGAATTTGTGGACCAGTAAAACGAGCATAACATTTTGATCCAGTGAGGTTCACCATTTCTGCGCGTCCACCAATTGCAGCTTCCATTTCTATGCATTGTTTTTCAGTGGAACCATCCATCCAAATAGGTGTGCGATTAACTGTGAAGGCCGAATCATTGATTTGAACGTGAAGAAATTTATCCGAATCCAAATTCCTCAAAGTTTGAACGCCATGTCGGGACCAATATAAAGAACCATGTTGCTGTTTAAAAGAGCCACGATTTTATTAACCTGTACAGTACAGTTCATATACGATATTAATATATTGACTAATGAAACCGTTAGCAATACTACTCACACTACATTATAGATATATCATTTTCAATGCTATCTTTTACTAGTCATAATAATTTTTATATATCTTAATTAATGTTTACCTGAGCAGAGCCGCCTATCGCTTTAACAGTATTAAGATCCGCACCTTGCATCACCAAACGATCAAGAACAATGTCGATTGCTTTCACCCACATTACCGGCTGAACGAAAACTCTTTAAAAGTATGATTTATGAAACGGATTATTTTTTATGGTGCCTACTTACTCATTATTCCCTGAACCAGAATTAGCTCCTCCGCTCGTACGGAATTCAGGCAAATCAGAATCAAATTTTACTTCAGCAGTTGAAATAACCTCCAATTTTAAAGATAACTGCACTGCTTTGAGCTAGAATAAAATTATATTTGAAACCTTATTGTATGTATGTACATTCTTACGATGTGCTCTTGGGAAATTTAATTTATAGAAATACTCTCTAAATAAGCTATAACTCGGGTAAAATGATGAAACTTGGTATACAACTTCTTTAGAAGTGCAAATAAAACAATGTTATAACAGGTTTAGCTCGCAAAGTAGTTAGCAATGCGGGAAAAACGAGCTTAAACCCCGGCCAAACTAGAACAAAAAAGTATAGAAAATTATTTTGATTGCTGTTAAACAATATTGGCGTCTGGTCAGGATGTTTATGACTACTGTTCGAAGGTGAGGCAGAATCCACGGCTATCTTCTTCACCAGCTTGAGGCAGGCGTACAGGCTGGAACTCGATGTGTAAGTTGATGGCGTAAATATTCGACTTTAGACTATAAACAACCCAAAATTATTGAGACACATTCGTTTACAAATTTCTGAAATATATATATATAGATCTAAATAACTGGCGCTTTTCAACCGCGATATGGTGTTGGTTCCTAACGTTTATACAAAACCGAGTCGGATGGGCTGACTCAAAAAAGTTAGTCTTAATTAAGGCTATTTCGAGAACGTATATACACTTTAATGAAAAACCCTTTCTTGTAATTAGACAACTTAACTTATTTAATAAAGTAGAAGCTACTTTGAAGAGTTTCCGCCCACTCTTAATGTCTGAGAACAGTGTCAAGGTCAATATCTAATTTTTTCAAAGTCAGAGGGTGTATTGGTTGATGATCAAGTACATTTAGACACTTGTTGCCAGCTCATACAAACCTCTTAAATCAAAACCTAGCAGAAATACAGAATAGATCGACTGTGATAGAATTGTATTTTTCGACGATTAATATAACGCAGAATACCAAAAAAAATTCACATTAGCAAAAAAGCCTTATCATATTATGAACAAAGATTTGACCTATTGAAAGTTATTGATTGCATGCTTTGATAACTACCATTAAAGATTTTGGCCACATTACTGATCTGCTAGATGACATCATTTAACAAAATACCACACCATGGTAAATTAAGAGAATAAACTTACCTTTTGTGTGCTTAGGTCAAAGCCCAATACAGTGGAATTACTATCGATGTGAGGCACCATTCCAAATAATTCAAATAATAAGTATGTTTGTGCGCGAAATTAATTAAGAACCGAATGACCATCACTCGCATATGATACAAAAGAACTGGGGGAATTTATATTCTATAATCGCCAGTATTTTGTTATCATGAAAGTAGATCAGCATTAAACTTTTTCTTTTCTGAGCTCCATAATTGACACATCTGTTAAAGATTGACAGTTTTCGAGTATTTTGCACTTATAAACAAAGAAATTAATCGATTATCGGTATGTGAAGTTAACATGCTCACAGACGTAGCAATTAATTACTTTAAAGTTGCATGTTAAAACCAGAGAACGCCAAATAACGGGAATGACAGATTCAGGAGAGCATGTGAACTGCCAGAATCGACGAGATTAAATAAGAGACTATTTCACCACTGCCACCAAAAAACGTTTCTGCTTGTCAACATTTCTTCGAAATAAATTAATAAAATAATTGTCTCCTTACTATCAATTTTCTTTAAATATTTAATTTATTATTATTTAATTACTTATTATTTATTAAATAATTATTCTTTCTTTTTATATAATTATTATTGGTTTCACAAATTCTGGTTTCCACTGACATTGGAGATGCCGCGGTAAACTACGCCGTGCGCGCGCGTAGGTGGTTGATTTTGGAGTGTCAAAGTTTACCCCTTTTTGTTAGCTCGAACTACCGCTGTTTACACGATAGTTCGGCTAACGAAGTAGGGTATATACGGAAAGAAGGATAGCCACGTGAAATGAAACACAGAAGAGCGGGAAACCGGAAGTTGGCGTGCTTAAACATCCTGCCCGCCGTGCAGGGATGCGCTGGCTAGTTGGGTGGCACGTTGTTGGGGGGAACTTTGTTGGGTGGCACGTTGTTGTGTGGCACGCGGCTTTTGTTGCTGCTTCTTCTTCGCCTTCTTGTTGGTTGCTGCGGGTGCTGTTCTTGCGACTCTGGTGGATGCAGCATAGTATGATGCGCCTTTTTGCACCATCTGCACTTTCCCCGGGAGTCACACTCTTCTGTGACGTGGGTGAGCGCCAAACAGTTGCTGCAGTATCCTTGCGTGTTGGCCACCGCGATGCGTTGAGGAGGGCGCATTGCCCGGAAAGCGGCGCAATTGCGCAAGGCGTGGTAGCGGTGACATAGCCGACACTGTAGGCAGTTTCTGGTATCTGCCGTCGGCGCGAGAGGGATTGCACTGCGAGTTGCCATTGGTGTCCTTAGTCTGGAAATGGAAGAAAACGGTACAATCGGTAGTTTACGTATGCAGCCAGTTGTATCGGATTAGGAGGGGAATTTCTCTTTATTGCTGTGATTGGAGGTTTCAACTTTGGTTTGCCTGCAATAGAGAAATTGCAAAGTGCCGTAAAAACTGCAACTAGATGTATATATGTATGTAGTTAATAATGTACGGAAATGTACTTAGTATGCATACAAATGTATTGTATATGAAAAAAAGAAAGATTTATTTACGGGAACTAAATAAATATATTAGCGGCAAGAAGAACCGCTTTCCGCTCGAATTAGCGGATTAAATTTCAAATTTAATGGTTTTGGTGGGAATGAAAACCCGTCTTACAGAAACAAACCTACTTGCAGTTTTAAAAGGGGGAAGGCTAAGATAGTATATCTTTTTAAAGGAAATTAAAAAGTTCGCAACTTACTACTTGGTAGCCCTTTTTATTTCCCTTTTCTGTTTTAGGTATGTAGGTCTGCTTCCTTGTGTGTGTGTGTGTCTGAAGGGGATTTCCTTATGCTGGTTCTGGTGGTGCAGGTCTTCGTTGTTGTACCTCTCTTGTAGGATGTTTGATGTCTTCCAACGTTGAGTTTGTTGTTGTTGTTTGTTCACACTTTTTAAAAAAACAAAAAAAAAACTTTTTTTTTGTATATATGTGTGTGTGCACTATTGTATGTGTATGTATATTTGTGTTGACCACCAATTTTTATTTTAATATGAAATTTCGCACTGTTGGAATTTTATCCTTGTGATTTTTTTTCGTTTGTTTTAATGATATTTTGCACATGTTTGTTTGTTTTACTCTTGTGTTTGTAACTTTGTCATTTTTTTTTTGTAAAACCTTTTTTTTGGTTTTTTTTTATTAATTAACAATTTTATCAAACTTTATATTTTTTCCGTTTTTGTTAGCTCGAACTACCGCTGTTTACACGATAGTTCGGCTAACGAAGTAAGGTATATACGGAAAGAAGGATAGCCACATGAAAGGAGACACGGAAGAACAGGAAACCGGAAGTTGGCGCGCACGGCGTTCAGAATTGTTCTTAATGTTGCGCGCTTAAACACTAATATCGTATAGAAGTGAAATAGTATCTTAGCAATCTAGTTGATTAAAAGAGTATTCACACGAAGCCCAAAAAATTTCATCAAAATAGAATTACAATCTCTGAAAATTAGCTTATTTTCTGGGATGCCATACTGAATAAAGTCGTTCCTGAATGCTAGTACTGACGCTTCAGTCGGGATATTAAAGAGGATTTACGTACGACATGCCGAGTTTAACTGGCGGCAGTGGAAAGATTTTCGTGATTCTTATATTATAAACTTGTATGAAATCAATGATGACGTATGAACGGAATACAGATAAGTGAAAGCATTGACGCCAAAGTATCTCAGCTTTAATATATTGTTGCGAAAATGCGAGGCGAATGTCAGATGAAAGAGAGAAGCCGATAACTAGTACGTTCTAGAAACGATAAAACAAGAACCTTCCACAGCGAGCAATACGATGCTTCTACGCTTTCGTCTGCGAGCAGCCGANGCAGTCGGCTGCTCGCAGACGAAAGCGTAGAAGCATCGAATTGTTCGCTATGGAAGGTTCTTGTTTTACCGTTTCTAGAATGTACTAGTTATCGGCTTCTCTCTTTCATCTGACATTCGCCTCGCATTTTCGCAACAATATGTAGACAATGAAAGAATCAACGAATAAGAAAATTTCCAACAAAAAATGGTGTGTAATGAAGAATCTGAAAGCGAATCATGATGAAATGAAGGAAATGTAAATACGAAATGTCGAAGAAAAAGAAACAGATTATTGTCAAAATCAGAATTGAACCCGATAAAATTCTGTTGAAGGGGTTACACACTCCGATTATTGATTTGCTTGTCGATTTCATTATCGAGAAATTGATTTATCGGTTTAAATGTCAGAATTAAACCGATTAGTTGACAGACTTGTATGCAAATTTCGTTGCAAGCGGAAATTTAATAAAAATGTTAGTCATTAACAATGGATATTACAACCAGCAATGCCTGGTGGCCGCGGTAGCCGAGTGGTTAGCATTAAATACAAAATTAAGTTAAATTTTTTCACGAAATAAAGCTCCTCATATATAAACCATCAGCCGTTCGGATTTGTATAAACTGGGCCCTGCATTTGATGGAAAAATATCTAGACCCAAAACCACAAAGCGGAGGAGAAGTTTGGCCAAAAATCGCTTCAGCGGTTACAAAGCGCCAATTATATAATATAATTATATAAGTTAACACAGCAGTTTATAGTAAGCTTCATATAATGGCCAATACCTCCACACGCGTTTCCGCTTAGACGCTGACACCGCATAAACCAAATTGAGAATATTAGAACATCAACTTTATTATTGCAACGTCAACATAACGTGACCAGGTTTTTAGGGTAAACATAAGTTTAGTTTTAAGTAAAGAAAATGAATGTAATTAGTTTTTAGAAGGAACTCAATAAAGAAAGACAGGTGGGCACGAGTCCACCTTGTTTTAAAAAAAGTTTTAAATAAATCAAAAACTTAACTTATATAATGCCTTGAATACGATACAAGATGTAAAAGTGGTAACGAGCTCTCCGTTTTTCATTGGCGTTCATTCCTAAAGTTTTCCAGCGTGGGTAATTTAAACATTCAAAAGCCTTTAGCATTTCTGTTTCTGAGCCTGTAGGTCGCGTTAAGGCGATATTTGAGACCCACCGACCATTTTCTCTTATCCTTTACAATTTTGCCCTTTAGTTTCAGGATTATTTCTCCAAATCTTTCTATCATCAGATATGCTATCACTGCCGAAGTCATTTTATTTTTAATGATTACAAATGTGTTAATACCAGTACAAAAATTAAATTGAATTGCAAAATCAAGTCGGCTTCATAACATCATTTCAAACAGATATTGATTTTCAATTCCGATAAATACGCAATTCTGCGTCTGTTACGATGGTTTTTACTGGCAGAAATATAATCTAATTTTTCCAGCACGGAGTTGCAATTTCTTTGTGGTGCTTTATTAGAAGGACTTCATGTAAAGTGAAATATAATGTTATTTTAAGTATGACGAATTTGTTTCGGCGACGTCAACGATTAGCGTTATCTTCTATTCTAGAAACCTTGAACAATGCCCGCATTGTTTTATTGAAATAAAAGCTTTTTTAAACGTATTTTTTTTATTTTAAGCGTATGGTTTCAAATTATAGTAATGAAATGTATGTATGATTTTAAAACATAAATACGCTTCTTTTGTAAACACGCAATATATGTATGTATATTTTTTGAAGTCGTCACATTATTCATTAATGATTACATACTCATTATTAAAATCCCGCTTGTCGATTGCCTACAACTCACTGAGAATTTGGCTCTATAAACGGCTTAAATATTTAATTGAACATTTTGTATTCTTTTCAAAGATTCTTCGTAATTTGCTAAGATAGGTTTAACTTCATCACATATAAAGTCGTCCACCTGTGCACTCGCTCGTCCAATAAAGGTTTGAGCATCAAGTATTTCATTTAACTGATTAAGTATAGGTTCAAAGTAAGGGTCCTTTCGAATACGGTCAACCAAATCATTGTCCTTTCCAAACTGCTTAACTTGCGCTCCCGCTTCATGTGAAAGTACACGAATCTTTTCATGACATACTTGTCGATCTCCACCTTTTTTAACCATTGCCATAATAATGTTTTCGGTAGACATAAATGGTAATTCTTGTGAAATATGTCGCTCGATAACTTTAGGGTAAACGACTAATCCTTGTGAGATATTCAACAAAGTTAATAAAACAGCATCTGCACTTAAAAATGCTTCGGACAATGTCAAACGACGATTAGCCGAGTCATCAAGTGTACGCTCTAACCATTGTGTGGCATGCGTATTAGCCGCGTTAGAGAATAATGTTATCATATGCCTTGCCAAAGCACAACAGCGCTCGGACCGCATGGGATTTCTTTTATAAGGCATAGCTGATGAGCCAATTTGAGTGCTTTCAAAAGGTTCTTCCATTTCTTTGCGCGAAGCCAAAATACGTAAATCAGAACACATTTTGTGAATGCTTGTACCTAAACTAGCTATTGCACCGATAACTTCCACATCAACTTTCCGTGAGTAAGTTTGGCCCGTAACGGGGTAAGACTTATCAAATCCCGATAACTGTGTAACAAGCAAGTCTAATTGTTTAACCTTTTCTCCGTCTCCATTAAAAAGTTGTAGAAAAGAAGCTTGAGTTCCTGTTGTACCCTTTACGCCGCGACACCGCAAGTCTTCCCTGCATCGACGAAGTGCGCGTTCGTCCATTAACAAATCTTGTATCCAAAGACATGATCGTTTACCGACGGTCGTGAGTTGAGCAGGTTGCAAATGTGTAAATCCGAGAGTAGGCTGAGATTTATATTTTAAGGCAAAATTTTTTAAACAATATACTATAGAGGCAATCCGTGGTAATAATAAATCAATAGCGTCTCGCAGTATCAAAAGGTCTGTATTATCGCCAACATAACATGACGTTGCACCTAAATGAATTATTGGTGCCGCTTTAGGGCACTGCTTTGCGAAAATGTGCACGTGTGCCATAACATCATGCCTTGTAAGACGTTCTTCCGCAGCAGCAGCATCGAAATCAATGTCATTCACGTGCTCCTGCATTTCAGTTATTTGCTCATCTGTGATTTCCAAACCAAGGGACTACAATCAAAAAGGAGGATAAGATATAAAAATTCCATTCGAATTCACAATATGTACATATGTATATGTTCTTATGTATATCATCATATACATTACCTGCTCGGCTTTTGCCAACCAAACCCATAGCTGCCTCCATGTAGCGAATTTATGCTGATCACTAAAAAGGAACTGCATTTCTTTGCTCGCATAACGCGTGCTTAAAGGGGATTTGTAACCCTCATATACCCCGATTGTACTCATAATTGCGGATAGTTTTGTGCACTGAAACTACGATTATTTCAAAATCAGCAAAGAAATGGAAATGACCCTACGCAATACAAACAAATAAAAGCTAGTTCTTATCATTTATGAGAACAATCTTGTCTTAACGTAGTTGCCACTAGGCCATGACAAGAATTCTCTCAATTTATCTTAATAACCGCGTGTAGAGCTTTTATGTTAAGGCTACGTGCACACCGACGAACATTTATGTAAAGCAAATAACTGACAAATGATATATTAAAAATCGAAAAAATTAGTTTACATATTAATGTTTTCGCTATATTCATCTCGATTATTTTTCAAATCCTCCCCGTAAATTTAATCAAGTTTAGTGTACAATGTATTAAGTATAAACCCTTCTTCACGCTGATGTAGTCACCAAGGAGTTGACTTTTTAACTGACTAGCGGCTATGTATGCCTCATCGATTATTCTGAAACTCTCTCCTTCCCAATTGCATTCAAATATCGCGGACAAACACATCATCCAACTGCAAGCCTTCACCCTGTAATACCTAACCTTTGTATTATCTCTCATAGTTGGAAATCTAAGCTCTTATCTCTTTTGCTAGGGCGATATATGCTGCATTAGAAGTTCCAAGTCTTGTTACTGGCATTTCCGTATGTGACTTTTCTTTCAATCTTCTTCTGATGTAACTGTCTATAGGTGGACTTCTAATATGTCTTCTTTACCATCACCTTTAGGGCAATATTTACATATTCACAGGATTGAGAGGATATGGCGTCGGCATAACCATTTCTTTCGCGGTAATGAATAGTGAAGTCATAACTTTGTAGTCTCTCAATCCACCGTGCTAGCTGACCTTCGGGATTCTTGAACTGTAGTAGCCACTTCTGCATTATCCGTTCTTACTTAGAAATGTTTTCCGTTTTGGAAATGTTTGAAAAAATTCACCGATGCCAGTAGTTCCCCTCGAGTTACGCAGTAGTTCCCTTTTTTGCTTCAAAATAGACCGGCTATAATAGGCAACTGTTTCTCTACTCAATATCTACGAGTACAAAGTATCATCGATCTTTGGCTATGAATAGCTGTGTCATATCATTTTGTCTCCAATTTTTGGCTGAATCGCGGCTGAGCATTTTTCTTTTTCTCAAGTACCACTGGAACACTCCACAGACTTGCCGAGGGTTCAGTAACACCACTCTCGCTCATTTCTGAGGAAAAGTCTAATCCTATTACGACTTCATCTACAACCTTCGCGAATGTGAACTTGTGTAACATAGCCATATTCGCCATTGCGGCTATGTTATTTCTCCTCACAACGAGAGTGGCCTCACCAGTAGCCGTCATCAATCTTGCTCCAGGCAATGGCATTACTCCTTTAGTGATCAATTGGGATAGAAAGATAGAAGTGAACGGATCTTCCACAAATGTAACACTTTTCGACACTGATCTTTCCTCTAGTTTTTTACTTGCAAGTTTTCTTCCTGAAGAAGCGCAGCATATCCAACACCGCCTTATTAACAATAAACTTCCCATCTCTATACGGATCGCACTCTTGGCGACGTCCCTTAATTGTGAAGGAGCCGCTGATCAAAAAAAAGGGCGAAAGGCGTGAGGATAAAGAGATTCATCTTCTCAAGCAGTCACGGGTAATGATCGAAAATTTTAAGAAAAGATGGGGCGACTCGCAGATGGTTTCAAGACCGGAGCGTACTAATGTAGGAATCAATGAGGAAAGCGGTGTCCATAGCACACTTGGTGAATGGAGGGAATACTCCTGCAGGATTCTGAATGGAAATGAAAATGCAACACTTAGAGATGGCGAACACGAAACTCCAATCGATGATGATGATTCATTACCCGATTATGACAAGATTCGAATAATGATTGCCAGTGTAAAGAATAACAAAGAGGACAGTGCTTTTTAAATATGTCGGTGAAGAGATGACAAGCTGCATGCTTCTTTAAAGAAAATGGTCTAACGAAATCATGCCCTCTCCATAAGAAGGGGGATCTCACAGTCTGAACCAATATCGGACGTATTGTGTGGAAGACAAAAGCGCACTGCCAAAAAACTGATTAACCCTTATCGGTATGGCTTAAGACCTAGTAAAACAAAAACAAAAACAAAACTTGGAAGAGAAAGCTCCCTTCGAAAGCACCGTAAGGAACTTCCTCGACGCCGCTATGTCTGGATTTTGTATACTTGAAGAAATTAAATGACTGTGTAAACTGACGCTAGACAACGCTAGAAGAAGCGCATTCAGTATTGCGATGGACCTCTTAGAGCCGTTTGATTCCAAACGAGGCTCTGACAGGGTGGCTCTTTGCCGTGCGATTTCTTCTCTTTGATGCTGGAGAAAAAATAAGAGTTGCAGAGGTAAAAACACAAGCCATCTTTTACAGTGAATTCTGCCTTCTCCAAGCTTGACAAAGAAGCTAAGAGAATGGGCCTGGTGGTAAACAAGAACAAGATGATATATCTCCTGCAATCAAACAATCAGTCGGCGTGCTTACGGCTTGGCTCTCTTGTCATCGCATATACTTTTGAATATATCGGGACTAGCAGTAGCATCAATAATCAAACTCCAAAAAATAATAACTCTTGTCAACAGGTACTGCATTAGACTGAGTAGTTATTTGAAAATTAAAGTTACCCTTTATTAACGTTCTAATATGTGGCGCAGAAAGGTAGACAATGTCGACATCCGATGAGTTGGCTCTGGCTCTGGTTAAATTTGCCAGTTGCTATAGTACAAAGAATAATATTCACATCGAAATAGAAGGCGGTGCACTTCAAAACCAAGTAGTTTTATTTATGTGTTTATTAAATCATAAATATTTTAACCTAATTTTCCAAATTAAAGGGTAATTTGTTTCTCGCAAAATTCTTAACATACTCCTTTCTCCACTGTTCTCTTCATCTTCAATGAATTCCAGGCCTAAAATATGCCTACCAATTTCGGTTTTTATTTTTTCTTAAACTAACAACACAAAATGTAACAGTACATTTTTTGTTACCTCCTATTTCGCTGGTAACAAAATTTAGAGGGTGACTGTGAACTCAGATTACGAAATAGTAACAAAATTTACTGAATGGTAAATTTTAATACCAAAGTAAATTTTATTACCTCGACAGAATAGACCTGTAAATTTCTAATATGAAGAGAAGATCTATCTATCTATCTGCAAATAATAATTGTGAACAGTGACCGTTGCCATTCATTTAAATGCGAAACGTTATTATAAATAAAGGCGCGTCCAAAAGTAATGTAAAAGTGATGAAAAAATTATCGAACCCATTAAGGAAACGTAGCGCAAAAAAATATAATTGAATGAAAAAATTAACAGAGGAGAATCATGAAAGAAAAATTGATTTGAAACCAAAAGCTATTTGTATATTAAAGAAGAAAAAAAATTAGAAATTATTAAAGAAACCCTCATTACATTACCAATCTAATTCAAGATTTTGTTCTTTCATTTTAAATACGCTTGCAAATGCAATGGGGGTAATTCGCATTCGTAATTGTGAGAGCGAAACACGTAATTGGGCTGTCGTGGAAATGCCGTATTAACGATAAATTTCACGTTAATCGAAATATTTCTATCGTTCCGGTTGAAATATGTGGGAGTATTAACATTAAAGCAGTTATGAAATCAAATCTCTTTTCATTTTTTCCCGAAACGCAAAACTGCCATTAATGTTCAATCGTTAACACTCACTTTTCCCTTTTGTGTATTCATGAACTTGATGAAAGGTTTGAAGAAGCCACTGTCCGTCATACTGTCAAGAGAATTTTTTTTTACATTGTTTACGTTGTTCCTTTCTTCCTTTTCGCACCACTTCCACCTTTTATCTAATATTAAATAAACATTTAACAGGAGGTCCAGAAAATGAGAACGAATTGATCATGTCGTTAAATTTAATTGTCGGTGATCCTTCCATTAACAGGCAGTCGAAGAAATGGCCCTTATGTTTTTTTTCGGGTTCTAAAACAGACTTTGTTGAGGTATATATTTATGGCTAAGAGTTTTCTATCGAATGTTGAATAATTAATTTCAGTTGGACTTAAGTTCCTCGATAAATTTACTAATGGTTCAAATGAGTTCCTTTTTGTCGTAAAACAGATCCGATTGCAACATTTGAAGCAACTACTGAATTGATAATTACACGTTTTTGCCAAAATGTGTTAATAATGTCTTCGTAGGAATAATTTTTAATAGTTTGAATTTGATTATTTTAGTTTATTGTTAATCGTAAACGTTTGAATCAGAGGACTTAATTCTGCTCCTAATATATTAATATGTTGAATATATACATATGTTCATCTTCATTCTCACTGAATATCATCGCTGTAAACAAGTACGAAATCAAATCCAGAAAATAATTCTTTAATAAATCGGTGAAATGTTCGAAAACAGTTTCTAAGTCCAAAAGGGGTGGTTATTGCATGTGTATATCTTCCTCAGTCATTGGTATTCGATTTATAGATATGCACTAACCAGGTCAATTTTTAATCAATCTTTAAATAACCTGAGAAAATAGCTAAAAAATTGAACCTTCTGTGATCACCACTTGTTTTTTTGAGCCGATAAATATCAAGGTTTGCTCAAGAATCCAACTCAGTTTTGGTTATCTTTCATATCAAATGATTCAGACGACGAGGTATGGAAAATGGTAGAATCCTTTTGGTTTCAATTTTGCTAACTGGGTGGTGTTGCACTTGCTCGGTGTAATCTGGTTCACAATTAATGGATGGAAGTTCATTCGTTCCTAAATTTATTTTCGATAATAGGAACTCGAAGTGAGAAAATGTCTTAAAAACTAGTAATAACCAGAAATTTTAAATTTAGGTGTTAAAGCTGTTATTTCCTCATTTTCGATATCGACTAGTTTTAAAAATGTTGTTTCAAATATTTCTAAATTAGATCCTTTTGCAGCCGAAAGTTTAAGATCCGAATTTCTCTTAAATGGTTTGCATTTTAGAAGAAGGTATAACCGAAACCGCCTGTGTTGTATTTAAATATGTATTGTGTTGTGTTTTTGTTATTGTAAAATTACATGTGCGCATGGATCAATGTTTCTAGAATACAAGGTTACGACAACCATTGATGTCACCGAACCAACTACGTCATATATTCATTTGGCCAGATTTAATATCTATATAATAATAAAAATAATTTTTTCTTTCAAAAAAAAAAATTTCTT